TGAAACAGAAGGCTGACTGGGCTATAGAAGAGGTTAGCTGTTGGCTCAGAGGCAGGTCCATGTCCTTAGTCCCAGAAAAAATGGAAGCAGTGATAATCACCAAGAAGACGAAATTACAACATCTTTCTTGGTAGATTCGCAATAGTCTCGACCAGGGAAGGCTTTGACGTACTTAGACCTTTGGAGAGCATATAAGCAGGACGGCGACCAAGGCCGCAAAACTGGTTGCACTTCTATCTAGACTGATGCGTAAAATTGGAGATCCACGTCATTTTGCCAAGCTGAAGAGAGTTAGTAGATCGATAGGGTTGCGAATTAACACTGCATACTGCATACTGTACGGTATCGGCTGAGCCTGTTAAGGTCATTTCTAATACGCTACCCATAGACCTGACAGTGGAAATGAGAAGGCAGGTGCATGAATATGTCACTAACTCTAGAAGACAAGCAGCGTACGATCAACTGCTGAGAAGCTGGCAGCAACGATGGCAAGTTACCACTAAGGGTCGCTGGACGAGGGTACTAATACCAAATCTAGAGGCATGAGTTAAAAGGGAGCATGGCGAAGTGGACTTCTACCTGACCCAGCTATTGACAGGGCACGGGTGTTTCCAAGCGTATCTTAACAGATTCGCCATTTGCGACGAATCATCCTGCCTGTACTGCGGAGCCATGGACGATGCCTTCCACACCTTTTGCAGGTGTCCCAGATGGGAGGTAGATAGAGAAGAATGCAGCCGATGCTTAGGCAAGGAAGTCACTCTGGACAACATTGTCAACTCGATGCTGCAGCCTCTTGATAACTGGACTGCTATAACGAATATGGCAAGAGGCATACTAGCCAGGAAAGTAATAATATGCGAAGCCTCGTACCAGATCGATACATGTCAGAGGACTAACAGAGGGGAACGAACAAATCAGTTCGAACAAATGGGACGAGAGGATCAATACATTCAACCTCCCTGAACTCTTAATCCGGTTGATCCGGGAAAGGAGACGTAGGGCGAAAGAAGAGGGCGATAGGAGCTGAAGATGATGAAGAAAAAGACAGCTTGCGTGCGAGAAGTTATACCATCAGCGGCAGTTCCAGCACGTCAGGAAACCCACTCGCTCCAGGTTGCGGCCTGGCGACGGTCTTAAGAGAAAAGCCTCCTTCCTTGATCTATATGTCCAGCCCTTTCTCCCATTGAACACGTCTGGGATAGGATGGGAAGAAGAGTGACTTCATCTTTCACCAACGCTATCAGCTCTTCAGAATCAAATATGTACATCTAGCTTGTGATGTGATACCCCAAGAAGACATAAATCACAATAAAATGGATACGCCATGGATGAATACGCGGTGTCACAACACATCATTGGGGTAGTCCAGCGACACAGCAAATGTTTCCACTTCAAAATTCAATCAGAACTTCCCATTGCTTGTGTCTAACTGTATGCTGTGTGTTCCATTTTTTTTAACTAAGTATATATTTGTTGGAAATATTATATGTACATATCTCTATTGATATTATGATATTTATTTCATAATGGTACTCATATCATGAGTACCTTTCCATTCAATATTCAACAGTTACGTCTCGTGGTACTTTTAGCATGCTGTACATTTGTACATACGCATAAAACTGAAAAAAATCCACGGACTTATGGTGCTTGATAGTACTCGCGAAAGATGATCCTTTTGATACGGTTACATTTAAATCTCATAGATTACTGATGATTTTTGATAAAACACCTGATTTGTTACTTTGTAAACATGAACAACTGCTTGCCACTCTTTATACCAATGTGTCTGCGGTCCCTAGCGCAGCCTTTTTCTATACGTTGTGCCAGTTTATGTTTGTTTTACTTATGGTTTTAATCACCTATTTCATCTTAAATACATTTAGATAAACAGTGACTTTCGTCACTTGTCTAATAATTTAGATGAAGCGTTAAAATCAATTCATTTTGCGTGTCAGCATAAAAACTTGATATGAGCAAAGTGATTCTAGAACAAGGAGTCTAGTGCCTTGTATTCGGCGCCTAGCTTTAGAAATATCTTGACGGCTTGGACGTTAAATGCGAACACCGACAAGGTTCCTATCGACAAAAAATAAGTTAAAGAGAAGATAAGGGCTCATGTCATAGGTACACTTAATGAGTCTACAATATTTGAAACCCGCGGCATCGATGTTTTTCGAATAAGTTTGGAAATATGATAAAATTTAAGAAATGTGCGTGTGCCACTCAAATCAAACCGGACCAATAATCACATAGAAATGGATTCCCAATAACATGGTTATTTAAAAAAGGGTCTTTGTCACATTACACTGCGCTACTGGCCGCGTCTCATCAATAATGCAAAAAATTACAGAGCTTAAGCATACGTTTTCGCAATATTATCTGTATGGGCTTCACATCAGGGCAGTCCAGAAGTTGGTGCATCGAAAAGTTGGTCATATGACCATGTTTTCTAATATTTACCATAGCGTCGGACCCATCAGCATGCAGTGACGTGGGGAATCGCACATCCTTGACATCCAACGAAACTATTTTCAAACTCTCTCTGGTGTGGGTATAACTCATTTTGATGCTCCCGGAAATGCCTTGTGCACTAAACTGATTTTAAAAATACTACCAAGTATATACTCGTATATATAAAATAAATTTGCATATCATATCTTTAGAAAATAATACAAGATTATCTCAAGGATGATAATGGCGAGCGTGAGTTGAGCGACAACATATCACTAATGAAATATAGTTAAATGTATAAATATTCCAAAATATAGGCAACGATTAATACGTTAGTTAGGAACAAAGGAGTCATCAAGTAGATTGACTCAGTACTCTCACTCATCATAGATTCATGAATTGATCTATAAATTATTTATTCATATTCTCAACCTGATTTGTTCGAAGATCGTAAATACATAGGGTACCATAAAAGTTTTGCAATATGACTTAATAAACGGACGCAGGAGGCTACATATTACTGTATGTTGAGACATGTCCATGAGTGCATAGTAGCCGCCAGCAGCACGTCTGTTTCGTTGTTCATTCGTATTGACAGTGTAAAGTACAGACTATGGCATCGTGGTCACATAGTGAGATAAGGGCAGTTTTACGGTATAAACCTTACGCGTGGTTTAAGCATATACCAGTATTTAGAAGAAATTATGCTTGCATTAAAGAATGATTGTCCTTATTGTACGACTATATTCAGGAGGTATCGATAATTCCAAAGGAGTAATTTCACTCTGGAGGACGCTGAGAGGGAAGGAAGGCCGCGAACGTCAGTACCAGAGGAAAACATTACTGCTGTGAGGAAAATGCTTGATAACAGATAGAGGAGACCTTACACCTTCATGTGTTAACAATACCTTAGACCTTAGACTAACTCAACGATAGAGTGCGAATTCTTGCTCGTATACTATGCTTACTAATGATGCGGATCAGTTGTCGTGGAGATGAATGTTGTTATCGCTCGGACAGCCCGTCATAAATATTTTGTCATCGAAGTTTATATATAAGAATAACTGTAAACGTTCAACAATAAATACGTTGTACTGGAAGGTTGGTCTTACATATTTGAATCAGCAGATTGGTCCAACATCTTCAGAAGTGGGATCAAGAGAAATTTTGGGAAATTTGTTCTGTTCACGCCCTTGTGCTGTACGAAACGTAAGTAAAGAAAAAGAACTACTGTGTATTTATTTCATTGATTTTATGTTTGGTCGACAAAAGAGTAAGTCTAACATCAATTTGGACATTATAATACAATGCATGCAGGCTATATATTTTTCCATAGGGACCACCTGCAATAGCATATCACTTAGAATACCAACATCGTATTACTATGCTTATTTGCAGAATTTACAGACGTGGAGCAGCTACTAAATTTCTTAAAATGTGTACAATTTGATCAAAATAAAAATAATCAGTCTTCCATGTAAACAGCTTTGACGATTCTAGCTGGTCATACAAAAAACTAGTTAAAATGAATGTTTATATTATTAGCTGTCATGTTGATCTTGGAAGTGATGGCACCTTTTTGCGATTTGGAGATGAAAACAAAATGGACTAAAATGGCGAAACGTTGAAGCACTCTTGTTGATGAGACTAGGTGAAGTCCCATATCGCCCCAAGGGATTTGCATTTGTTACCATAGAAGTTCAAGGTATTGTTAAATATGATGTAGAGATTCTAATAGTTAATGATACCTCAATAGTCATCTTCTGCTAGTACATGCTTACACTCAAAGACCCTCAATTAGTATAATCAAAACTGCGAGACAGTCGATACTTCAAAGAACTCCCGTGCCGTCATATAATGATTCAAAAGTTTAGTTAGTATGTAGTGCAGCTACCATAGTAAAAATTGATGAAATTTGTACAATACCCTTTGAAAGCAATGACTATAGTGGAAGAGTTTATGTAAATGGAACCGTTAAAGGCCTTACGAGTGCAAAATATTACTTACTCCCTAGTGAATATAAATTGAAATGTGGTCTGGGTAATATGCTAGTATAAAATCTATCTAAAAATGATTTATTAATTCCCAAAAGCAAGCTTTTGTTTCGTGGTTATACTAGAAATCAATTCAAATACATTGTTAGAAACACGTATAGTCAAAAACTAATTTTCCACCAATCAACTTGTATTAACACCAATAATAATAGCACAACGATTTAACGTAATTTCGGAGTGGCAGATTATCTGAGCACGATCTGCACTGCTCGACGTTACAGCTCGCTCTGCCAGGGTCGGCGGCCGATCGTCGTTTCCTCAGCTATCAGAGCAGCAACCACACAACAGTACTCCTCCGTGACCGGCAGCGGCTCGCCAAATTTTTGGTTTCTTATACGGCCTTCCTGACGGCTGTGACGTTCTCGACGCCCTCTGCACCACAGGCCGAATCTGTGAATCACAAGCATATGCAAAACCCTCCGTGTACTTGCCACAACTATTGTCTCACAAATATGATTCAAATCTGAATCAACCACAACCGGTGCTAAGACCAAAATATTCACAATTCGATTACAGAATTGCACGTAAATTCAATTAAATAAATCTTTAACAGTGGGGGGATATGAATAAAAATGAAGTACCTTCTAATACTACAAGTATTAGCATTTTCTACAAAGTATGTACTTCAAATCTGAGAAGAAGCTACATTTTCAAGTAGATACTTTTTGTTTTACCGGAACTTACTATATCAAGTAGTATTTACTGAAAGTACCTACTTCTTGTAGTAGATGCTACTAATTTGAAGAGGAATTTAGTATATGCTTGACTTTTGCGAAGTTGGTATAAGTGCAACTTCAGAGAGAATACTACGGTTAGTTTTGTTTAGTTTTCTTTGAAAATGGAAGGAATACGCAGCAGAAAAATATATAATGCAAGACGCCGCTATCATAATGATATTTTATATCATAAAATATTTCGGTAATTTAACAATAATATTATTATTGTTTTTAATTACTTTTAAAATTGTTTATTCTTTTAGGTTTAGTAGAGAAAACGTATCTTACCTAGCGAATATATTTCTCCCAGAAGTAAATGAAACTCGAGGCGGTGCTCTTACACACATCCAACAAATGGAAGTATTTTTAAGAAGCTTAGGTATGTTTCAATAAATGAAATAGGATAAATAATCTAATTTTTATATCTTTATTTCAGGAGACCCTGGATTTCAGCTAGGCGTTGGACTTGATGTTGGGATTCATCAAACAACCGTTTCAAAAATTATTGATAAGGTATCACGTGAAATCTGTAGCAAGAAAAATCAGTGGGTTAAATTCCCTGCTACGGGAGCTATGTTCAACAGAGCTAAAGATGAATGGGCAGCACATAATACAATACCTCATGTCATTGGCGCCATTGACTGCACTCACGTGAAAATTATAAAACCATATGTACATGGCGATGAATATATTAACAGAAAAGGAGTTTCTACAATAAATGTACAAGCAACATGTAATAGCAGAGAAATGTTTACCAGTGTTGATGCTTCCTGGCCTGGGTCTGTTCATGATTCTAGAATATGGTACAATAGTCCTATTTACCCTATTATGTATAATAATCAAAAAAGAGTTTGTCTTTTGGGTGATTCTGGATATGGTGTAACTCCTTGGATGCTTACACCTTTCAAAGATCCCATAACAAACATTCAAAAGTATTTTAACAGAATACATGCAAGAGAACGTGTGATTATAGAAAGATGCTTTGGCCAGTTAAAAACAAGATTTCCTATGTTGAATTATACAATCCGACTTAAAACAGATAGAACATGTCGATATATTATGTGTGCATTTATTTTACATAATTGTGCAAAGTTTTTGAACGATCCAGATGAACATTTTGATGAAATGAACATAGAAGAAGAAGCAGTTATGCCTGAATTATATGCCGAACCAAACAACGGTGAAGTCCGACGCCGAGGTATCCAGTTTAGAAATGAAATTGCAACACTGTACAGATGTACAGACAGCGTTGAAAAAGTAAATAAATATTTGGATTGTTTGGATTTTATACATATTTATTTTATGAAGGTTCTGACAAAATAATTAAACCTAATAAACATGTTATACAAATAATAAACATAAACCTTATTTCTCTTTTAACAAAAAAAAACATATTAATCAGTAGGTATTTTTGAATCCAAATGAATTCAAAAGCTCGCCTGTTGTCGTGCAAAGTAATCTTCTACGAATTGCTCTACAGCTCCTGCGGCCCTTTCGACAGCTAGAGCGGCCTTTTCTTGAGCTATAGCAGCTTTTTCTTGAGCTGCGGCAGTGTTGATTTGTTGAAGTAGTAATTTCTTTCGTAATTTAGCCATTAATTCTTTATCATCACAAAAAGGTATTTGATTCTCTTCATCGGTCAATGATATATCAACGTCTTGACTGGTGCTCGCAGTTACACCTCCTAAAACATTATTAGATTAAAAATTTTGCACCACAATAGTATTATGATTTTATATGGAGGAAAAGTGATTTTATGACGAGCCTGAATTAGACAGCCATGAAAATTAACTTTTCCTCCAAGTAAAATATGCTGTTTTTCTTCAAATGTCAAGAAATTAATCGCGGAAAAGTAAAAAGTGAAGCTCCGGCTGATGAAAAATAAAACTTCGTGGCCGCATACAAGTCAAGCAATAAATGATTTACTGACGTTTGAAGAAAAAATATATAATATCAAATAATACAGTACCTGGCACTTGTTGAATTACTGGATTCTCACTCCCATTCCATAGGTTGAAAAATTTTTTTTGCCACTCATTTAACTTAATTTTCCTATTTCCTGTTTTCTTCATATCGGTAATATTTTTAATTTTACTTTTCATATTACTAACTTTTTTTAATACCTGTTTTGCATCCAAATTTTGTTTTGTATTTCTGTTATACGTCTCTGTGAATTCTTTAAGTGCTTTGTCTTTGGCAGACTTAACGGGAGGTGTCATTTTTTTATCCAGAATAATTTTGTAGTCTTCTAACATCGTAACAAAGGCTAACTGCAAATCTTCATTTTGGGACTCTTCTTGATTTGGCATTTCCTCGTCGGAAGACATTTTAACGCGCGTGCCGTACAATACCAAGTATGTGAATATTTCAAATAAAATAAAACAACAAGTGTGACCTGTCGAAACTTGTGGAAAGGAGAAGATGCTACTCAATTTAAAGCATTTACTTCGGAATAAAAGTAGATACTACAGGCACGATAGTAAGTACTTCGACGTAAAGCAAATACTACCGGAACTGATTGGATACTTCATGGCGAAGTATTTACTTTGAAGTAGATTCTTAAAATTGTAGTATAAGCATCTACTTCGTTTTTATTCATACCTCTCAGTGATGGCGACGACCGTCTCATTAAAATAACAACTCTATAACTTCAGTACTAGTAGCTCTACTACTAACAAGACAGACCAATCTTACAATAGCCCTGAAGACCTCAGCCTTCAGCTAGCTCTGCAGCTGACGAGGCAGAGACCAAAATAACAGTATCCCTGAAGACCTCAGCCTTCAGCTGGTTCTGCTACTGACGAGACAGAGACCATGTTGCAACCCCCCTGAAGACCGCAGCCTTCAGCTGGCTTTACTACTGACGAGACAGAGACCAGGTTGCAGTTTCCATGGAGATCTCGGTCTCCATTTGGCTTTACTTCTGACGAGATAGAGACCAACATTAATCAAGACAGCACATCGTAGAATGGAACCAGAAGTTTACTGACCTGGTTCTTCCTCAGCCTCCAAAAATTCAAGTATATCTCCATATCAACATTGGAGGACCACTGTACAGGCCATGATCTTAGCTGTTCCTCAGCTGCCTTTGTTATGATGGTTGTTCCAACCTTCTTAATCTCATAACGTCCATTTTCCAAGCACTTAACCACTTCATAAGGACCAAGAAACTCATAGTCGCTCTTGCTTATGTGTGTCTGAGAGTCCCGGTGCATCAGTACAAGATCACCGACTGAAAATTGCACTTTGTCCCTTTTTTTTTTTGTTCACAGTGTTGTAATTTTGTGCGACGAATAGCCTTTTCGCTAATCGCTGTCGATCCAAATCTCGGTTGCGCAAAGGAGTTAGATCCTTAGACACATCCTTCAACACAGCTTGTATCATCGGAGTCGAGCTTCGGATACCCAAAAGCAACTGCAAAGGAGTTGTATTTATGGATTTTTGCATAGTAGAGTTGAGAACAAGTTGGATCTTCCATAGTCCGTTCAGCCATTCTGTCCTTATTTGGGTTTTAACTCTCATAAGATTTCTAATGGTTCGCATATAGCATTCCACCTGCCCATTTCCTCTATGCACATCTGGAGTTCCAAAATGGTATTCGATGCCCCATCGATCCAGGTACTTTGGAAACGTGGTGTTCTTAAATGACGTGGCACCGTCCATTATTATTCGTTAGGGAGTTACAAACAGCGCTAGAACATTCTGCAGCTTTTCACGCTTTTACTCCTACAAAATCCAACCCGTACGTCCTCGAGTTCGTTCTGCGGGGCGGCCTTGGGCGCTGAACCGTGTGCGACCGTGTAGGGGGGGCAACGGGGTGCCGGTCTTGCGGTGGACCGCCTCGATCAGTTTTTGAAGAGACCCGCCGGAAAGCCGGTAGCCCGGCCAATCGAATGATTCGATGAGCCACAGGTGTCTCGGATGTATATCTGGGACGCCTGCAGCTCAACGGTCATCATGGGCAATGGTACTTTACCCAACCCAAGGTGTTAAGCGATTCCGTGCCGAGGGGTGGGTGGCGTCTTAAACGGAGCCTCTGGGACACCGGACGACCTCCCAGTGTATCCAGCCTTGCGTCCGTGTAGGGGCACCGCGGACGTCGACCACCACTTCCCCTATACTCGTGGGAACAATATGGAACCCAATGAAAATAATAAAAACCCCGAGGTCCCCTCTACAGGGGACCCCGAACATCCAGGCGGCCCCTCACCAGGGGATCCTGATCGTACTCTGACAGAGGAATCTGTCAGAAGCTTAGCGAGAGAGCTAGCAGAAAGGGTGGGTTCTCTAAAAATTAAGAAGAAGTCTCGGCCAGGTTTCGAAAGGAAAAGGGCTCGGAAGCGGAGAGAGGCGCAGATGACGGAGGGCTCGGAAGGTCGGGGCACCACTTCTGGGACCCCGGCTGGACGGACCCAACCGCCATCTGGGCTAGACGGTGCGCAATCCGGTGTGTCAGCGGAGGCCCTAAAGCGGCCTGGCGACGGGAAGCGGCAGAGGTCTGCCGGTGGGACGCCGGAGGGCGCAGCCTCGCGGAAGAAGCCTCGTACTGCGACGTATGCGCAAATTAGCTATGCGCGTGCGTCCCAAGCGGGTCTCAGAGTGGCTGTCGTGTCCCACGGTTATCCTGGGACTCAACTTACCGACGTACAAGTGCAGCAGGTCCAGGAGGCGGTCAGTGTGCTGATAGATGGGCTCCCAGATGAGGCGGCCCTTCCCAGGTACATTGACTGCTACCTCTCTCGAGGGGCAGCCATCTTTGTCTGTGAGGACGAATCCTCTAGGGCATGGTTGGAGGCCCACGTGGGGGATCTGCGGTCGTGGGAAGGCGCAAGGCTCATTACGATGAGCTTTGTAGACCTTCCCATATACCACCGCGTGATGGCCTGGTTCCCGGGTCTCAACCTGGTAAACGAGGTCATCACGAGGAGACTCAGGAGACACAATCCTGGGACTTTTCCCAGCGCGTGGAGGCTACTTGAGAGGAAGGAAGAACACAAAGGTGTCCGACTTGTCCTCTCAGTTGATTCCATAAGCTGGAAGGTCATTGCAGGTAACGGCAACAGGCTGTGTTGCGGTGGAAGTTCGGGGGTGTTTACACTCCTGAGCAAGAAGAAAAGCAGTGGGGCGACACCTGCTGGAACAGGCCTGGCTCCAAACCAGGAGTCAGACCAGCCCAGACCGACGGGAGCTGTGGCGGTAGACCAGGCTCCTTCACAGGGGATGGGTCGGCCGGGTCAGCTCTCGCTGGAACCACCGGAGGTTACGGACGTGGAGGCGGCGGGTCCAAGCGGGATATCCGCAGAAAACATCGCGGCGGACCCTGCGATGGATCTGGTTCCAGAGGGCAATGATAGCGACTTGGACGAGGACGGAATCCTGAACCGAGTCCGAGAACTCCTCCGTGGAAGCGGAGATCAAGGCGGCTGTGACAGTGAATACTGCGGCGGCGACGGCGGTACGCCCGAATAGGGGACACATACCGTCATTCGGGAAAGTGTAGGAGGGGCCTCTCAACACCCATAGTAAGTCTTAATTTCATTCAAATTAACTTACAACACTGCATAGCGGCTTCGAGGGTTCTTACTCAGGAGATCACTCGAGGCCGACACGACGTGGCTCTCATCCAGGAACCCTGGCTGAGAAACCGTTCAGTAAACGGGCTTAGTATACCGGGCTATACGCTTTTTAGCGATACTCCGGACACTAAGCCCAGAGCTTGCGTAATGACTTCCGTCAACTCATGGCAACTTAAAGAATTTGCATTCAGAGGCTTAGTTGCAGTCAGAATTAGTTATAAGAAGGAAGGCAGTGACAGGGACTTGGTTGTATGTTCGGCTTACCTTCCTTACGATTCAAGAGACCCTCCTCTTTCCAAGGAAATGGGGGACCTTGTCGCATTCTGTAGGGATTCTGGACTCGACCTTGTGATTGGATGCGACAGCAATGCCCATCACGTTACGTGGGGCAGCTCGAACACCAACAGACGGGGCGAAGACCTGATGGAGTTTCTAGGGGCATCGAACCTTGAGGTTCTGAATGTCGGTAACATGCCCACTTTCAGCAATAGTGTAAGAGAAGAGGCTATCGACGTAACACTGAGCACGCTTAACTTAGCTCAGGACATCAGGGACTGGAAAGTGTCTCTAACACCCTCTCTATCGGATCACAGGTACATACTGTTTAAGACTGATGGAGAGATTCCGGATAAATATGCTCGGAATCCCAGGCATACTAGATGGGGGTCCTTTAGGGCAGACATTGACAGTAAGCTTGAAGCTGTCCCATACAGGCGTTGCAGGGGCTCTGACATAGAAGCAGCTGTCGAGTCTCTGAGCAGGGACTTGACGGCTGCATATGAGGAAAACTGCCCGTTACGCAAAGTCCAAGGTAAGGGCAAGGCAATCTTCTGGACCAAAGAATTAGAGGATAGAAAACGAGCGGTGCACAAACTTCTTAGCAGAGTTAAGCACAGGAGAAGTTCTCCTCTATGGGAAGAATACAAAAAGGCATTGCAGGAGTACAAAAAGGAGATTAGAAAGGCCTCCAGAGAATCCTGGAGGCACTTCTGTCAGTCCATAAATGACATTCCTGCTACTGCAAGAATACACAGGGTCCTATGCAAAGACATTAAAGCAAGATTGGGATCTCTGCATGATCCCTCGGGGGGGGGAATACTACTTCTGAGGAAGGTACTCTGAGGCTTCTGATGGATACGCACTTTCCCGGTTCCACAGTACCGCGATCAATCACAGAGTGCATGCAGTTGCGCAGGCCCTCAAGGGAGGACTGGCGCACGACCAGGGAGATTGTCACCTTCGAAAGGACGGTATGGGCTGTAGATTCGTTTGCTCCATACAAAAGTCCAGGTCTGGACGGCGTATTTCCGGCCATGTTACAGCAGGGACGGATTTCGGTTGTTCCTTACCTGTTGAATGTGTTTCGAGCATGTGTGGCCACGGGCTTCAAACCTAGAAGCTGGCGACAGGCTAAAGTGGTATTCATTCCTAAACCGGGCAGAGATAGATATACTGGCCCGAAGGATTTTCGACCGATTACTCTTTCATCTTTTGTGCTTAAGACCCTGGAAAGGATAGTTGATAGATACCTAAGGGATGGCCCACTGGAAAGGTGTGTCATTCATGCAAATCAGTTTGCATACCAAGCTAGAAAATCGACTGATCTGGCCTTACACAATTTGGTCGGTAGGCTGGAGAAGACTCTAGATCAGCGAGAAGTGGCAGTCGTGGCCTTCTTGGACATTAAAGGTGCATTTAAGCACCACAACCGACTCTATCAGACAGGCCTTGGTTAGACACGGGGTTGGATCAATTGGGTCCTCTCTACTCTGGAGGGTCAGGTAACAACAGCTATGCTGAATAACGTAAGCTGCAGCGTGAATGTAGCTAGAGGCTGCCCTCAGGGCGGAGTTCTGTCACCCCTACTGAGGTGTATCGTGGTGAACGAACTCCTCGTTAGGCTCAGCAGTATGGGTGTCTATGTGCATGCCTATGCTGATGACGTAAGCATAGTAGTTAGGGGGCGTTTCTGTAGAACAGTCTCGGAAATTATGCAGGGCGTTCTGCGCTCCTTGGAATCATGGTGTAAGGAAGTCGATCTTTCTGTTAATGCTGAGAAGACCGAGCTGATCCTATTCACTAGGAGAAGAAGGCTTGACGGTCTGGTCATGCCGACCTTCTTTGGGACTAGATTAGTTTTGTCCCAGTCAGTGAAATATCTGGGAATTATCCTGGATTGCAAACTGAACTGGAGAGAACATGTGGAATACAAGGTTAGCAAGGCTCGCAATTCGATGTGGGCTTGTAGTCGTGTTGTCGGGGTAAGGGGGGGCTTAAACCCGAAGTGGTATACTGACTCTACACGACGATAGTACGTCCATCTCTCTTGTACGGCTCCCTGGTCTGGTGGCATTGCATTAGAACTGAGACAACTAAGGCCAAACTCAATAAAATTCAGCGTTTGGCCTGTATTAGCATTACAAGCGCAGTGCGAACAACGCCATTGAGTGCAATGGAAGTTCTGTTGGATCTCCCACCGCTGGATCTGGTGATCCGCGGTGAAGCGAGAGTAGTCGCTCATCGACTGTGGAGTCCGGGCAGCTGGGCTTTCTTGAATCCTGTCAAGGGGCATACTGCCATCTTAGTCGAATTAGAAAGGGAGGACCCCGTCCTTCTAAGCAGGGGTGATCGTATTACCCCTAAATATCGCTTCAACCGCAAGTTTATTGTGGAGTATCCAACGAGGGAGGAGTGGGACGCCGGTAGCCGGGGACTCTCCGAAGTGAGCGGGCAGGTCTGGTACACGGACGGCTCGGTCACCGAAGAGGGCTCAGGTTCTGGGGTCTCTGGGCCTAGAACTAGGCTATCTCTGCCTCTCGGTTGATACACCACCATTTTCCAGGCGGAAATCTTTGCAATTCTGGCTTGTGTATCTCACATTCTGGAGGAGGGTGGGCCTAGGAGAAGAATAACAATCTTATCCGACAGCCAGGCTGCAATTAAAGCACTAAGTGCCTGTAAGATTACTTCGAGTCTTGTATTTCAATGCAGCGAGGCATCCGGTATCGTTAATATGGGTACCGGGGCACGCTGGGATAAGGAGCAATGAGACGGCGGACACTCTGGCGAAAACAGGATCAGCCAGCAAGCTCGTTGGTCCTGAGCCAGCTCTAGGAGTCACCGCGCATAAAACTAGGAGGAAAATGGAGACGTGGGTTGCAAGACAACACTCTCAGAAATGGAGAAGTATCTCTAGACATCTCCGCCAGGCACGAGAGCTCATTGAAGGGCCCAGTGCTAAGGATGGACGCTTCTGCCTATCTCTGGGTAGAGCCAACCTAAGGTTGCTGGTGGGACTGTTGTCTGGCCATAACACGTTAAGGCGTCACCTGCACGTGATGGGGGTGGGCTGAGGATCCCTTGTGCGAACGCTGCGGAATAGAGGAAGAGACCTCGGCGCACGTTTTGTGTCGCTGTGAAGCTCTGAGCCACTATAGGCAGACTATACTGGGGTCCATTACTTTGGACCCTCAGGACGTCAAGGAGCTTGGACTCGAGGCGATACTCAACTTCGCTAAAAGGGCGAGGCTTGTGATTTAAGGATTGTAGAGGTGCATAAGGGCCCGCTTAAGCGGCCTATGAACTGGCTCCTTATGGTGGCCGGGATGCCTCTAATTTTAAGATTCATTCATTCATTCAGGACCAAGAAACTCATAGTCGCTCTTGCTTATGTGTATCTGAGAGTCCCGGTGCATCAGTACAAGATCACCGACTGAAAATTGCACTTTGTGCCTTTTTTTTGTTCACAGTGTTGTAATTTTGTGCGACGAATAGCCTTTTCGCTAATCGCTGTCGATCCAAATCTCGGTTGCGCAAAGGAGCTAGGGATCTAACTAACATCCTTCAACACAGCTTGTATCATCGGAGTCGAGCTTCGGATACCCAAAAGCAACTGCAAAGGAGTTGTATTTATGGATTTTTGCATAGTCGAGTTGAGAACAAGTTGGATCTTCCATAGTCCGTTCGGCCATTCTGTCCTTATTTGTGTTTTAACTCTCTTAAGATTTCTAATGGTTCGCATATAGCATTCCACCTGCCCATTTCCTCTATGCACATCTGGAGTTCCAAAATGGTATTCGATGCCCCATCGATTCAGGTACTTTGGAAACGTGGTGTTCTTAAATGACGTGGCACCGTCCATTATTATTCGTTAGGGAGTTAAAACAGCGCTAGAACATTCTGCAGCTTTTCACGCGCCTCTGCAGTTGTCACATACTTCATAGGCGTCAAAATGCAGTACTTGGTAAAAGCATCCACCATTTTACTGCACAAATTACACAGTGCTTGACTTAGCATTTGATGAAGTTTCTCATCCTCGGAAACCAAAAATGTTGAGCGAAAGACTCGTATGTCTTTTCGGGTCCAACGTGACACTGCTCATCATGGAAAATGCGCAGTAGGCCTAAACGACTTTGTCTAGGAACGAACCATTCCAAATTTGTCGTACCATCTGTATTTGCTTGCTTGTGATAAAGCATTTCATCCTTTTCAGCATACTGGCTTGCATCAAGGTTGCCTTCTCTAAGTTGTCGTAGCATGTTCTGAACTTCTTCTTTTACTTTTTGCTCTATGTATGCCCAACTGTTATGCGATACTCGGAGAATTGTTTGTGCAGGATTTCTGTTCAAATAATCGACATACGGAAGACTACTTCCTTTTCGGTAGGCTATTTCGAAATTAAAGTCTTGAAGGTACATCCACCATGCGAGCTATTCGGGGTACCAGGTCTTTCTTAGTGGAGGTTGCCTTGATGGAATTGCAGTCAAGGCTTCAACTATTGTTAAAGTCTTCAACTCGTAAGAATGGTATTTGGCTTCACAGTCAGTCGAACGCTTACTGAGATCAGCGACTACCTTGGACTGGTTTCCATGTTTCTGAACCAAAATAGCCCTATATCCGATACTGCTTGCATCAGTATGCAGCTCCGTCGGAAGTTACAGGTCATATACACCAAGCAACGGTCTTGATGTTAGATGATCAATAAGATACTTCCTTGCATCTTCCTGCTCTTAACCCCAATAAAATGGGACCCCTTGCTTGGTTAGTCGAGTTATGCATGCTGTCCGACTGGCGAATTCAGGCACAAACTTATGGAAATAATCGGCTAGGCCCATAAACTGGCGTATTTGTTTGACATTCTCTGGTACCGGTGAGTTCACAAGTGCTTCAAGTTTGGCTTTCCCAGGTCTTATGCCATCACCCGATACTTCTATGCCAAGGTACTCCAGAGTAGATTGGAGAAAACGACATTTCTTGATATTCAAGGAAAAACCTGTGCACTAAGCGCCTCCAGAACTCGTCTTACTCGGGATCAAAATGTCATCAAGGTAAACTAGAGCAATTGAGTCTTTCAGGTTTAATAAGGCTAGGTTGGAGCTCTCTGAAATACAGCTGATGCATTAGCAAGACACACAAGTATTTAAAATGGCATCTGATGTTATAAATGCCGTCTTGTGGATGGATTCCTCGTGAATGGGGATCTGGTGAAATCCCGAAGCCATATCCAAAGACGTGAATTAGCGTCCCTTTCCAAGTCTGTCCAGTTGATCGTCGACCAAAGGCAATGGAAACCTATCCTTAATTGTGATGCTGTTAAGCTCACGATACTCGACACACATTCTAAATGAGCCATCTTCTTTTTCACAAGTCATACGGGACTTGCGAATGGTGACTCGCTAGGTCGTATAATTTTATTTTCCAGCAAATCATTTATAGTTTATAAACGACAATATTCTTTTCAAGACGAATTTTCAGGCTAACATTATTCACTGCACCAACTTTATTGCCTGTTGTAATCATGCCACTAAAATATTGCAGTATAACTTCAAGACCTACGCGATGTTCTTCAGGTACTTCAACTTCTGTGACTAAAGCACCAAAATCTTCTGAAACGCGATGTATGCCAGGCAGCTGACGTCGCACAACGCGTGATCCTTGATGATCTGTTATGGTGGCGAGACTTTCATCTTCAAAAATATTACGCCCCACCAAAACATCATAATCGAGACACTCGCCAGAAACAAAAATAAAACATATCGGAATATCAACACCAGAAATTTTCGCACAACCCGTAAACTTCTTTGTAGCCTTAATTGTAACGTTAGCTAGTCTTTCAAAATAACATTGCAGCTAACAACCTTACTGTCAAATAAGTAGAGGAACTTATCAGATATCAATGATAAATCAGCTCCAGTATCAACTAAACAGAAAAAATGATAACCATCAATTAATATTTCGGTGGACCCAACTGGTTTACCACTAGAACAAAAGTTTATGTTGCGACGTTTATCAATAGCAGCTTTGGTAAAGCAACTTGATACGCTGTGATCTTTCTTAGCACAAAAACTACAAATTTCAGAGCTATGAGATGTGCTTGGTAAGTCACGCTGACCTATGGAATTGTATCTGTCTTCTGATACCAATTTAATTTTCTTCACACAATTCGCTTTAACGTGTCCAGATTTTCCTCACTGGAAATACTTCTTAGAGTTTTTAACAAAACCACCTTTTTGCTTGTCAACAGATGAATATTTACTTTTGAGAGAAGAAGAATCACTTTCGGCTATATTTTGTCTGTCATTGCACGAAGGCTTAACAAAAGGTGACAAGAACCAATAATTCAGAAATAGTTCTGCAGTTAGCATTCATCGCAGCATTGCGCACCTCTAGTTCAGAGATTCCGTAAACAATAGGTATTTTCAGGTTCAAAATTCAGTACTGTAACGGAACGGTTCTGGAACTGCGCAAGACTGAATGCGTAAAGGGGAAGATCTCGGAAGCGGTTAGGAACAGTCCGTGAACTATCAGAATTTTGCCAAAACCCGAACAGCCTGAACTACGGCAACACAGAACAGAAAATTATTTGTCATTTGTCAATAACCATAACCACACTTCTTTCTTATAAAGTTTTCACAAAAGTTCTGTACGCAGTTTGTTTTGTTTGGTTTAGTATATTTTGTTTGTTAATAATTTTTACTTAGATTTAGAAATGGGAAGCGAAGGTAATTTAATACACTTTTTCGCTAGTAAAAGAATGTTGAGTAAAATGTAGAATTATCTATTTTAGAACTGAATATGAATGATTTCCTACCGGTACCTGATAAATCATCCGAAGACAAGGCCCTAGAATGTTTTTTCACGAGAGAGGACGCTTAAACTTTTACACTTATATAAAGTAAACAGGAAAGAGCTTGGCTCATATGAGGTCAAGAATATGAAGAAACTGGGAAATCATAGCACATGATCTTTCTACTGAATATAGAATAACAATTCCATCAAATAAGTGTGAAAATAAATTTAAAGTGTTAGAAAGAAATTACAAAAAGGTTATTGAAAACAACAACAAAACAGGCAGGGGCAGGAAGTTGGTTGAATATGAGCAAGAAATGGATGAGATCTTTGAGAAAAAGAAGAACATAAATCCAATCATATTGCTATCCAGTTCGTCCACAATAGAAAAGGCACCTAAAATCCAAACAGAAAGCTCTGCACATATCGAATTATCTATTCCAGAAATTATTGATACTCAACCTTCTTGTTCGTACAATACTCTAACCAAAGATAATCCCCACAGACAAACAGCAAGTACATCCGGAGGAATGTCCTGTGCTGCCCCTAAGACATCCTTAAAAAAGAAAAGACTATGTATGTCAAAAGAAACAATATACTTTTAGAAATAAAAAATGATCTGAAAGTATTTTATGAAAAAAAGGACCAGAGGGCCCAAGAGAAAACTGGCTGATAGGGAAAAAAGAACATCAATTCATCAATTATTAGGGAATATGTTGATATGTTCAAACAAAATGATTTTTCCAAAGATCCTTCCCAATAAAAAAATTATAGTTTCCAGTATGCTAATTTTATGTTCTTTATAATAAAGTGATATTTTTGTTTTGTTTTTGAAAAAGTAATTCAGTTTTCTGTTTATAATTTGTTCCTTATTTTGGAATTTAAATTTTTTTTATACATATTCTACAACAAACATAGTGATTTAAATCAAAGTGTTTGGCTATTACAATAGGTTATCAGTTCCTCAGCTTTTACTGTTATTTTTCACGAATTCTATGTTAATGTATACCAAAGTGTTCCATGTTTTAAAGTGATATTTATATGTATATATATATTGTTGGAAATGAGCTTCTCATTATCAGAATTACAAAGGATAGAAGATAATATAAACTGGTAATAACACTTCAAAAATATTCCCCAATTTTTGTGGGGAAAGTGATTATATGTTAAGCAGTTTTTAGATTTGTAAGAAAAAAATATATTTTCTGTTTGTAACACTCTGTATCCATATCTGTGATCATATACTAAGCAGTTTCTAGATTTTTAAGAAAACATATTTTTTATTTGTCACACTCTCTATCCTTATCTGTGATTATATGCTAAACAGTTTCTAGATTTTTAGGAAATTATATTTTATATAGGTATTATATTTATTTTTAATACATTGTATCTCAACTCAAACCCAAAGTGGCTTTCTTGTCACAAGTATATTAAAGTTCTTATTAACAAAGCAATAACCATTAAAATTCTGGACCCATGTTTATTAGAACTTCTTCTTTAATGAATTAAAATTGTTAATGAAATTGCTTTATTTATTGAAAAAGTCCTAGTAAAACAAATTCCCGCTGCAAATAGTGTGAGTGCTAGTACGAAGGAAAAAATGACACATTTATCCATGTATTTGCAAATAAATTTATTATGAAAATGATTAAACACATATTTGTATCACTATCACTTTAAAAGCTACATACTATATATCTAATAATGAAGCCACATAATTCCTGTAGTTTTGACCAACCTCATTATGTCCATCATCTTGTACATGTTCATTAAAAGGATTTTCATTTCCCTCATCACCTACATCTACTGCCTCATCAAGTACAACATTGTTATCGATGCAGAGGTTATGTAGCACACAACATGCCCTAATAAAATGGCATATAAACTTAATATCTCTTGATTTGATATGATACAATTGCCTAAACCTCTGTTTTAGGAGACCTATTGTGTGCTCAGTTAACACTCTACCATGACCCAATTTTTTATTAAAACTCTTTTGCACCTGCGACAAACTACCTGTATCCTTATAAGGAGTTAATAAGTTCCTCAAACAAGGATAGGCGCTGTCTCCCAAAATTACCCAGTCCTTACACCACAGTCCTAAATTTTGGCACAGCGGACTATTCCGGAACACTCTTGCATGATGGACACTACCTGGGCACCCAATAAACACAACCCTTATTTTTCTATTGTCATCACAGATAACTTGCATCTCAAAATATCCACATACTGACATAAAATAGCTGGATACTGCACAAATTTGTCACTTACTTGAATCGAATGAAACTTTTTCCTATTCAAATAAGAATCAGGATCTTCTCGGGGGGTATCAATTTTAATATGGCTCCCATCTTTGCACCCTATTGCTCCTGGAAACCCCATTTCAGCAAAACTTCTGGCTATGTTGTTAGCCTCTGGAGCCAATGGCCATACAATGACACTTCGAGACAGATTTGATAAGAAATGTATACAATGGTGTTGACAATGCCATGTAGGGTACTCATTGACAGATCAAACCTATCTGCCACATCTCTAAATATTGCACCCTCATTGCTTGTGAACCAAAGAAATGCCAGGATACATTTTTCACTGTATATCCTCTGGAAACCAGTGTCTTTCTTTGGATAAAACTCAGACTCTTCAAAATCTCTTTTTAAAGTAGCAACAATTTGCCTTGAAACTCTGAAAAAGACATGCATTCTATGCAAATTAGTGTGCAATCTCGATGTACTATACTAATTATTTTGTTTAGTGCTACTAGTGGCCCCGGGTCTTTAGGAAGTTGATTTGCTGGATAAAAAAATATCTTACCTAAAATGCTCAACAAACTGTTTGTCAGTATAGGAAGGAACAGTTTCCTCACAGAAATTATTATATTTGCTCACATCCTTGAGAAACTCTGGCAAAAATAAGTTGGAAATAACTGCCTCAAGTTCATCATCACCGTCAGACGACGATGATGATGACGAATCGGAATCAAAGATGATCTGCATTGGATCCATTTGTCCACTTTTCTTTTAATTTTAGATAAAAAAACACTCTTAAAACCGCAAAAAGTAAACAGCATTAAAGCACAACACGTCAAACGTCAAATAAATTTAATTACAAAACACATAAGACAATGACATTGGCAGAAGGAATACGCATCCGTGAAAAATCAGTTCAACAATGGTCCCGGCAGTGAAGAAAGAACTGCTTGAATGATTCGCGAACGATCCTAGAACTGAACCACGGTATAACTCGAACATCAAATTTCAGTTAGAAAACGGTCCGAAAATAATCCAACAAAAACACGAACACGTCCGTTCCTTCCGCGCATGCTCCTGATAGTTCTAGAACAGTAATAATAAAAACCCGAAGAAACCTGATGAGTTCGACCAAATCACTTTCGCACCAATTTGCACCTAAATTTTTAAGCATAGATGATTTCTCATGCACATAACTTTCATATGTTTTGAAAAAAGAACTGTTAATTTTTGCTGCCTCCTCCAACAAATGACCCAAATTTCTTTTAGGAGGAAACGCCTCAGCAAAGTCAACTCGAAAAGTAGCCCAATCCCTGTTGTCTGGGTTCCAACGTTTGAACCATCTCTTTGCACCGCTCAATAAAAATCGGTCAATCCTTGCCAGAGTTTGAACGCCAGACCATCCAACTTCATGCTTAATGACTTCAATTTGACTTACCCATTTACTGGATTCGTTTATTTCGGGTCTAAAATAGGGCAAATCTACCTGTTCTGCCGACATTTGGGACTGCAAGGCCTTTACCAATATTCTGCTACCAGCGACTTTGTGGGGTCTTCGTCTGTTGAAGAAATCGTTAAATTGAATTTCCTTATCAGGAACACCAAGACTTGATCCAAACACACAACGCAGCACAATCTTTTTTTTTAAACTATGACGCAGCAATCACAACGATGTACCGTTATCCTTTGTTCTCACAAGACAAAGGAAACGTCAATGTTTTCAAAACAAATTACAATCCACTGTGGTCGTCTGGGCACAATCTCGCTTCTGATGTTAGAAACACGGATAGTCAAACACTAATTGTCCACCAATCAACTTGTATTAACAACAATAATAATAGCACAACGACTTAACGTAATTTCGGAGCGGCAGATTATCCGAGCACGATGTGCACTGTTCGACGTTACAGCTCGCTCTGCCAGGGTCGGCGGCCGATCGTCGTTCCCTCAACTATCAGAGCAGCAACCACACAGCAGTACTCCTCCGTGACCGGCAGCGGCTCGCCAACATTTTTCGTTTCTTACAACATATAACTTAAGTTTAACTCGATTATTAGTATAAGTGTGGAGATGTACTCACACCAGAACATAGAGACGCTTTAAAAATGCTATTGAAAAACATTATAAGCTCGATTTCAACGTAATCAGAGATTCCTTGTCTCTATACGCAAGTCCAATTGTATCGGTGCAAAAGAATACAGTCGAAAAGAGACAATGAGTAGAATATAGAGCTCTCAATAGAAAAACAAAGTGCGAACACTACCTCTTGCCCAGGATTGACGACCGTTTCGATACCTTAGCTGGCAGCTGTCTTTTCATCACACTTGATTTGGCCTCTGGTTATTACCAAATACCAAATGCAGAGAAATTACGTGAAAAAAACAGCGTTCGTTACACCAGACGGTCAGTATGAGTACAACAGAATGCTTTTCGGACTCGGTACGTTAGAGGACCATGAACAAAATATTACAGAAATCTTGCGTTAAATATGCGCTAGAATATATGAATAATACTCTTATTCCAGCCGGCTCCTTCGAGAAAAAAAATATTAGAAAAAGTCATGTAATCATTAAAAAAGGCGGTCTAACTATTACGATGAGAATGGTGGATACAGTTCTTAGTATTTGACTGCTGAATTGGATATAGGCCCAGCGAAAGAATGGCACATTGACTAACTGAGTAGAGGTCCTATACTGGATGAAGCTAACGAAACTGTGATATTCTGCCCATAAGTTATGAAAATTGAATAACGACAATCCAGCAAACTGACCCTGAAATCAGACATATCGCTGAGAACTTGAGGAATCAGACGCACCCAGAAAATAAACCTGCAATCAAAAAAAAGAAATTACAATCTGATCGATGGCAGAGTCTTTCGAATCATTGACAAAGACACTCAACGTTGAGTTGTTCCGAGGGTATCGATATAGGTTAAGGACGTCAGTCAAAGTCATCGACTGATGTTACAAGTCAATCCGTCGGTCAACGTCATGGATCAGCGTGATTGTTTAAGTAACTCATTAGTCAGTGTCATAGACTAATGTAGTAGATTAGATCGTTAGTCAAGGTCACCGACTAGCGATCTGGTTAAGGACATCAGTCAAGGTCATCGACTGATGTTATAGGTCAATCCGTTGGTCCACGTCATGGATCAGCGTGATTGTTTAAGTAACTCATTAGTCAGTGTCATAGACTAATGTAGTAGATTAGATCGTTAGTCAAGGCCATGGACTAGCGATATAGGCTAAGCACATAAGTCAGCGTCATGGACCGATGTTTTAGATAAAGACACTATCCAGCAATTCTGTAGAGAAATTGAGGAATATTTCGGTCATTGGCTTAGATACAAAAGTATTCTTTATCTGAACTCACTGGAGCTTACTGTATTATTGATATATGCCAAATCTTGATATTTATTTACTTAATCCTGTATGTCGGGTGTAACCTTTCACCTTTGTTGTTACTTTGTATGTCTTAATTATGAAGTAAAACGAGACGACTCGTTTATGGAAGGGCGGCCGAGCTGTTAACAATACCTTAGGCCCGTATCGTTAGTCGTCCCTACAATTGTAGGGCGCGTTTATGGCCTCCTTGATTGTCATACTCCATTCTCTCCTTCAAAAATTTCTAGATTACACTTATCCCGTGTCAGCGTCAGCGCTCTCCTATTGTGAAGATATGTTTTCTTTTTATATTGTAAGAAATTTCAGGCTCATAAAACATGATATGGCTCAAAAGCAAGCACAATTTGATGCAAATAGGTGTTTGTGACATAACCTCAAAATAGAGCGCTGACACGGAGAAGTAGAAAAATATGACAATCAGGGAGGCCATAAAGGCGCCCTACAATTGTAGGGACGACTGCCAATACGGGCCTTAGACCTTAGACTAACTCAAGGATAGAATTCGTATTCTTGCTCATATACTATGCTCACTAATTCAAAGTTTATATAAATATAAGAATAACTGTAAACGTTCAACAATAAATACGTTGTATTGGAAGTTTGGTCTTACACATTTGAATCAGCAGATTGGTCCTACACATGCACCAGGAATTCATTCAATCGGTTCGTTTCTGATTGCTACGAAAGAAGCTTAAACGACGTATTTGTGATTTGATCCGCCCGTGGAAATAACATTATTACTTCGTGTTGGAGATAAGGGAAATGGAGGCTTCTACTTGATTTTGCCATATTGGATTCTGTGATAGAAAAGGTTTTTAGGAGATTCCTGAATTTTTAGTTTGAATTTTGAGTGACACCAGATCCATTGGGTTCACCCATGTTTACTTGTTGCCGTTGAAGTTCGGATAACATAATTTTTTGTAACGTTTGTAGGATACGAACGAGATAATAATAATAGAATATAACGATAAACGTGAAAACCACAAATCCATCTTAGGAGGTTTCGAAGTACCACCCTGTACCATTTCATTTTTACTATAAGGGCAGTACGTAAACAATTCGATATGGGCAACAATGTCATTAAAGCCACTTATTTGGTGACGAAACGACAACGAGTTATCCTCTTAGATTTAGACTTATGAGTATCTCCCGTATTCAACTGATGGATCATGACATCACATGCACAAATCTACTATTTGGGCCAAAATACTTTTCGATGCCTAATTCCAGATGTAGTTTAGGAAAAAAACTGGGAAATCACAATATGATATTTTCTTATAATTTATGGCAACTACATCATGGTGATAGTTTGTTCCATGCTATGGTTACATTTGCAGCGATGTTTTCAATGAGACTACAATGATTTTGGCAGTTTATGTAGGAAGTGGTGGTCAAATCAAACAACAGCGTTACTTTACTACAAAATGAAATTTTATTTTCGAAACATCGCTGCTGAGTTCGCTACTCTGGCGCCCTTGAACTGTACCACTAATACTATCCTCCCATTAAGTAATATGACAGAACTGATCAGTTCAAAGAAATATTTGTTATAGTTTAGACAACTACGTTACTAATGTCGTATTTATAGATATAAACTTATATAAAATAACAACAGCAAAAATCGTATACTAAACCAAAATAGCGAGATAAGCTTGCACTTTTGGTGAAAAACAGGTACATATGGAATCAAGACAATTTTCACTTAAAAGAAACGTAAACATTATTCTTAATGCTGTTCAAAACTGGGGACAAAATGGTAACGCAATGGTAACCACAGTAACAAAGTGGTATCATACTCACATCACTTTATGCCTTCATAAAGTAGATCTAGTAGGCTCAAAAATAAACTAAAAAATGAACTTCCGAGGTCATAACGCAATATAAAATAACATAACTGTAAGTTATAAACTTCATTATCGTACAGTATATACTTCGAATTATTTGCACAATCATAAAGTAGCAAAAATAATTCAACATCTTAAAAATTATTAGGCAAACGTACGTAAGTTTTATTTTTCAAAAACGTTCAATGGTTCGTCAAACTCGAAGAATGCTCGTTTACCTTTCATGACCATTTTAGGATTAGGAACCTTTTTGCAAGATATTGTCATAAGGTTCGTAAGATATATCAGTCTCGACTGCTTTAAAAATTTTAGCAGTACAATCTACAGTCTTATAAAACATAACCTTGACGTCTCCCTCTTCATCAACAGTATCTACTTTTAGCCACTCCCAGGTAAGTATAATGTGTGTCTTTAACGGAAGAAACTTTAACTAAAACGTAAACACCATCTGATATCTTCGATGGATGAACGTTTTCCTTATCTATTAGCTGTTTTTCTTTCACGTTAGACACAGATGGCTGGTCCAAGTTTGCAAGAACCTCTTCGTCAGAGCTAGAAGATGGGGAGTAAACCATGCTGTAGTAACTTCTTCTAGATTCGGTAGGGACATTGGATATATCGGCTAGTAGTTCCTTGTTGTTCAATCCATCTGCATAACTCTTTTCTGTAGAGTTGCTGATTTTGCCAACGACGGGAGTAGGAACTGGCCGATAGGTTTTTGGATCCAAGCATAAGCAAAACCCTCTTTGACAGAAACAACTAAGGTCTCTATATTTTAATTCACCTGGAGTATCAGTGAAAACTTGATGAACCTGCATAGTACCCTGGAGTGGTACTACATTTTTTGGTACAGTTTTTTCGACATTTTCAATGTCATTATTAGTCACCAAGTACAGACGGACCTTGCTCGAGTTCCTCATTGTGTGGAAAAAAGTTTCTGAATCAGAAATATCTGAACCAGTCGCTACCTTTTTATCTGCAGTGCGTTTAAGGTAACCACCAATACCATCAGCGGCACCTTTGCCGTGACCTGCTTCAAAGAAGTTCCATGTGACGCGATTGAAGTTGTACTTCCGTATTTCCGTACATATGAAATAGAAAGTTTCTGCCTGTACTGAGTAGCAGGACCATCGGAGAAGAAATGGATTGTTGTTATATTAGGATGTACAGTTTTTAAATTGCTAATAACTGGATGGAGGTGTGCCCAAATAGACACGGGAGTGTGAGAGTTATTTCCAGAGATGGTACAAAATGACATTATCGTCGGTTTGTCCTCTCCTTCTGTTTTGGTGTACATAACTCCAGTAAGTAATGTAACCTACTTCCTCGAGCCGCCAAAATGATGGCACTCCACTTCTTCAAAACATTTGAAGCTATAGTTCTCGCTGAAATCGATGTGTAGAACGATTTCATCACTCTTCAAATTATCTATAGCATCTCTATAACTCCTATACTGTGTTTGTATGTTAAAGATATCTTTTTTCAATTCTCTCAGGGTTTTATTAAACCTTCCTATTAATTCTGGAACAGTCCCTTCAACAATTTCTTTTACGTTTTTTGTAATCTTCACTTTTTTACTTGACCTCTCTATCACTTCACACTTTCTAACCCACTGAGGCCATTTAACTGATTGTGACTGAAGGTCATTCCGTATATTACATACTATTTGTTTAGTATTGCAGTCTCCACAGTTACCGGTCATGCACGCTCTTCTATTTGTTGATCATGCTAAGCTTGACACGAGGTTGCTCATATTTGGAACAGGAATGATTTTGTTTTTATGGAGAGCATTTATTATACAGGGTGACTTTGAAGTTGAGTCATTAATTTTCAGATAATGATTGTAGAAGGAAATATGTGTGTAAAAATAAAAAATAAAAATAAAAAAAAAATGTTACCTTGTTTAATAAAGTATCCTCCCGACAAGTATTTCAGTGCGGACCTGTATTTGATCGTGCGGTCTTGGAGCAGCATGCCCTCACCTGTGAGGTCTTAAGTCACCTGATTCACGAGCCCATTGTACTACATTAACAAAGGCACGAGGGGTTGGTTGCACTCGATTGGGAAACCGATTCGCGTAAATCCGTGATGCATCCGGGAGCATTTTGTAAAGACTGCCCCCCCGTAAATAAGAATCATGTCCACAAGTTCAGCATTTTCGTAAACATGTGCCATTTTTGATTTCGTTTGAACCACGCAACACACTACTATTCACTTACGCGTTATCGACTGACGAAAAACATCGTGTTATAAACGTTTCAAATTCTTTCGCTTTTTTGTTTCCGATGCGATGAACCGGTCAGGCGGATTATATCCGTTGTCGCCAAACACGAGCATATAATAGGCAGGGCGGTACTCAAACTTCCAAAGGGCTATAACTTTGTTACTTTAATTTTACCAGAAAAATGGTAAAGGAAAAAAACATTTATTTTGATCAGATCTACTCACTGTTAAAATAAATGACTCAACTTCGAAGTCACCCTGTATACTGCGTGTTAGTGTGTAACTTGCATAGGCAAGTTTCTGTACCACCAACTGTAGGCGGCTTTACATAGAACGGTCGATGTCTTATGAAGTATGAATATGAACATCTCTCACCTATAAACTCTTTAGTAAAAGTAAAAACATCATGACTCTACCAAGCATTCATATTTATAAGTGCGCCCTTTTCGCACATACAAACAAAACAAAATTTATACAGAACAGAAACATCAACACACATTATAATACAAGGGCAGGTGAGAGTCTGAGTATTCCAAAACACACACTGACGCTGTTCGAAAAGTCACCGGAATACACCTGCATCAGAATATATAACAAACTTTCAGCTAACCTCAGGAATGTCAGTAGTATTCCTAGTTTTAAATGTAAACTGCGCAAATTATTAGTTGAAAAATGTTTCTATTCTTTGTCTGAATACCTCGCACTGTGATATATTTTTTAAGCTTTTTTTATATGTGAATGTCTGTACCCATTAAGTTGTCCCTGTTTGTACTTTGTAAATACTTATGTTTGTTTCGTTTTTATTTTTAATTATGTGTACTATGTACCTCCCTCTTAGGACGAGTCTTATGTCATTTTTTATGATCTACAAGACAATAAATGTATCTATCTATCTATCTATTTCTTGAATGAACAGTAAAGGTTTTTCATTGTGTCCAGTAAATATCGTTTTTGACTTTTTACTTTTTTGTAGGTTACAGTTTCTCGCTTTCCCGCTGTAGCTCTAGAAACATCGTCGCGATTAAAGAACTCCTTGATTTTTCCAACAAGGTCCGATTTCTTAGAGAGAGTCAGCTTTCGTTTTACCTGGTCAATGCCCAAAGTCTCACGCACAATAGCAGTCTTCATTTTTGACTTTGATATGGCTTCTCCGTGGAAAACTTGTCTTAGAGCTCTCTTTTCTTTTACTGTTGTCAGACCTTTGTAATGAACCCTAATAGCATTTGATAATGTAGAATATTTATTGTTATCAGGATTGATCCTAGTCTGTCTAGCCCTTTGATACCTCTTCTTGTACTTATTACACTTCTTTTTTAGTCTTTCCAGTTCTTCCTGTAATTTCACATTCTGTCTATATAACGCAGATCGGTCGCGCCTCACCCGTTTCCGCCCTCTACACCTGGGAGAATCTGGAGTTCCTCAACGTGGTGTGGAAGGCGGCGTGTTTTCTACCAGTTGCTGTGCAGCTTTTGTCGTTCTCGCCGTTTCTTATTTGCAATCTTCCATCTACGTTTAGCAGCTCTATGCTCTCGCTCAGTCATATCTTTCACTATTTTTTTTTTGGCGTGGTATCTTTCAAGGTGTTTTCTTTTAGCTTCATCATTTTTTACGGGGTCCAGCTTCAACTTCAGCCTATACCGACGCTGCTTTTCCGCTGGTGTCAGAGCCATTTCGTTGATAAGCTTCTTTCTAAAATCAAAGGAGTGTCGAATGGGTATTTTGGTTCCATTAGTGCACCTAAAACAGCTGTGTTACTAGCGGAACAACTGCGTTACTTTTTTTGGTAACGCAGTGTAGCAGTAACGCAGTGGTCAATTTTTGATTATTTCATTTGTCTGCACTCAATCACACAACCCAAAGCAATTTCATTATCGGCATTGGAGAATATACCTAAATGACTATGTAATCACAAATTCATAAATCAAATATCAGCTTTACTTACATTTCTTTGACGGTAACTCAGCATTCGCACAATAAACACACGCATCTCTTATTATAGCTGTCAAGCGACTACTTCATTTCGCTGAGTCAGCTTACCTAACGGTCACTGCTCGAATTAATAGTCACATCAAGTTAAATGGAATGAGGTACATGTTTTAGCGATACACTTATTTTAAGTTCTATTTTCACATAGAAACTCAGGGTAGTTAAGATTTTGTGCTTTGCTGGGGACACAATATAAAATATTTTTTATTTCGTTTCACGTTCAAAGTAAATCGTATCTATTGGAGCCCTAAACAAGGTTGAATGAAGTAGTTTTGAGCATAATTTTCATAAAAGGCCATCTAGCAGAGAATACGCGAGGCTGGTCTCTATATCATGAGACTGATGTGTAGGGACAGTAATATTTTGTATGGAAAACTACTGCGTTACTGGAAAAGACAACAATGTTACTAAAATTTTCCAATAAATATAAAATTTTAGTTAAATTTCATGTTGTAGTTTGCTAACCCACAGTGTTATATTAACGAATTACTGTCATTTTTATACAAATTGCTTACGGTTCGCCCAAAAAGTAGATTACATTTCAGGGGACCGATTTTTAGGCACACAAAAGTATTTCAGCCCATTTACCATTACATTAGTGTACCCCAACTACTAGTAAGGATTCGTCACACAGACCGAATCATGGGATAGTCACACAGACTGATCCTGACCGTCACACAGACTGATTATTAAGTCGTCACACTACTCTTTGGTCGCTAGGTGTACGGACAGACGTGCCGAGTTTAATGATTGTTACAAAAAAGACAGTCTAGGAACCGGGATATCACGTTGCCGTGTCAATACCCCAAAGCTTCGACGTTACTCCTGAATCAGAGATAACCGAGCAAGATTACTATCATTAAAGTAACAATCCCTTCACACATCCTGCCATGGGATACATTCAGACTCCAGCGATTGCCAAGAGAAGATAGTTAAGCGGTCATTCATACCTAGGACGTTACTTCGGCTAAAGGCCACCGTGTCAACATCCCAGGCGCATTCGACGTTTCCCCTAGTAGAGGAAACCGAGCAGTAATTAACATAAGTACCTCATCCCAGCAAATGGGCTCCGAAAGTCCCATAACAACCCCCAGAACCTGGAGACGTCCCCCTTCGGATATTCAATAACAAGTCGTAAGCCATAAATTAAATTATGAAGGTAAAAAGTATAACATCTTTATAAACATGCCTTAAGACATTCATGATTATGAATATAAAAGTATTATGGTTCTAAATTCATGCAGTTCAGTAGAATAAAGGAAACACTAGGTGATTGCTCACCTTTCAGGTAACCAAAACATTACACCCAATAGCACATCAACACTGTAATTAGGTCCACAATGCGCACTACTTGGTCTGAGAAGCGATCTCTTCCACGCACTATTTGAACTGTGATGCGAGTCACGCACGGGAACAAGTACCCAGAGAAGGAATGGAATGTACAACATAAACAGGCTTAAGGGCCGTCGTGCTGAGTGACAGGAACCAGACTTGTGAACCTTCTGGAAAGATTTTGTGTGCTACAGGGTTGAACTCGCATGCAAACATGTGTTTCAGATATTTCGTAATCTTACACAAGTATTGACACAAATACATAGTATAAATATGAAGGAGAAGACTAAATAGAATGGCGCTAGTGTGGAAGTGGAGAGTGTGATCTCAGTGAGAGACAAGGGATTTTATACAGAGGACTTTTTGAAACTAAAAGGTTATACCATTTCGATTTAAGAAAAATTAATAAAGGGATTGTACGAAAAGATAGATCAAATTGAGAAGATACAGCAGCCGTCACAAAAAGTAGAACTTACGCTGATATGGTTAAAGCTTCAGGGCATGAACATTCAAACGTTAATTCGCCCACAGCAGTGGTAGCTTACACAAGTATTGACACAAATACATAGTATAAATATGAAGAAGAAGACTAAATAGAATGGCGCTAGTGTGGAAGTGGAGAGTGTGGTCTCAGTGAGAGACAAGGGATTTTATACAAAGGACATTTTGAAACTAAAAGGTTATACCATTTCGATTCAAGAAAAATTAATAAAGGGATTGTACGAAAAGATAGATCAAATTGAGAAGATGCAGCAGCCGTCACAAAAAGTACAACTTACGCTGATATGGTTAAAGCTTCAGAGCATGAACATTCAACCGTTAATTTGCCCACAGCAGTGATAGAATATAAGCAGCAATGCTTACCATTGCAAACACGTACAGCAAAAAAACAATCAACAGTATGAAAACCCATAAATACAGTAATTGTTATGTCTAATAACCAACAAGAGTGTAATAATACAAAGGAAGACATCGCAAAATTTATGAATCT